GGGGTCTCGCTCTTGCTCAGGCTGGTTTCGAACTCCTGAGCTCAAACAATCTGCCCACCTTGGCCTCCAAGAGAGCTAGGATTACAGGCGTGAGCCACCGTGCCCAGCCCCTAAGTTCTTGATAACAGTTTCCTGAATAAAGGTTGCTGGCTTAAATCTACAGGGATTTATATGGGTTGGTGCAGTGGGTACTTAATGAATTGGGGTCAGTATAGGTTGATCATGTTTTATAGAAAATTATTAAACTAGAAAAGAATTTTTACCCTATGGTGGTTTAGGGCAAGTCTTCCTGACTTGGAAATGATGCTAATGATGCTGCACAGAGGCACAGCACGAGGGCACTGGGGCTAATCTGAGGTGGTGCTTGACCCTCAAGCGCAGACGTGTTACATGTGCACGTTCCAATGAGTTTTGACTCCCCCTCCGCATTTTCTTTTGCGCTTTATGTAACAAATTTCCCAACAAAACCAATATGTTTCTTTTGTGTCTTTGTAAAAATTATACCTTAAGTACTGTGATTTTTAACTCCACTAGCAGATTTCTGTTTGAAGAAAAGGTCTTCAAACATGAATAATTATTAAGTGTGTCTGTGCCTGGCACAGTTGTATGTATGTTGCATGTGCCCCTCAGAGCAGCCCCCCTGGTGTAGGTGCATAGAGGGGAGGAACCTAGTTGTGAGTCACAGCTGGAGTTTGAGTCCAGTCTGTCTGGCTCTAAAACCTATACTCTTAATTCCTTTTCTTCGTCACACATAGAAAACGGATTCATCACATAGGAAGAAAAGTTAGCCAACTAAGACAAATCAGTAAAAGAAGAAAATATATATCCCTTTTTTCATTTTTTATTCTGAAAGTGATATGTGCTCACTATAGAGAAATGTAGAGTATATATAAAAATGTGTAAGAGAGAAAATAAGTTTTTAAGCTTACCATCCAAAGATGATTTGTTAACATTTGCTGCATTTGCATTTGCATCATTTTATATGTCATCTTTTAAGATACTATCTTGTATAGTATAGTGTAAGTATACTGTCTTATACTTTATATATAAGTAATAAATAAAGTACTATCAGTATTAGTTTATTTACTACTATTAGTTTATGCCACATTTATTCCCAAAAGGCTTTTAAATAACTTGCTAAGGCACATAAAAATGTACAACCTAGCATGAGGCGAAAGTAAGCCATGCTATTTTTGTGGAGTGAAGGGAAAATTTCACTAGAGGTGCCAGATTGTATTTAACATGAAAGATAAAGTACATAATGACTTATGATAAATGAGTAGACTAGAATGTTGATTTGACGTCAGCTAACTTGTAATGAGAGGGTGAGTTGGTACAATGTCTTATTTCCTTTATAAGTTATATAAAACATTTATTTTAAAACATTAACACATACTTAATTTTTTTAGGCATATTTTTCATAGAATATGCATTGACCCATGGCTTTTGGATCACCGAACGTGTCCAATGTGTAAACTTGATGTCATCAAAGCCCTGAGATATTGGGTTTGTTACGTTTTTGTTTTTATTCAATCTTTGCCCCAGTTCTTCCTGAGTGATTAGATTTCATTATTGACCAAAGGCAAGAGGAATGGGCGAAATGCACCTTATAACATCCTTGTGGTTCTCTGAAGAAATTACATCTTTATTAGAAATGAAATCTTAAGGCAGTCCAAAAAAATCAATGCACTAAATTTATGATGACAGAATAATATGCTGTGATGTTTCCCAGAGAGAAATATGAGCAATATGTTTTGGTTTACTACACTGCAGAATGTATATATGCCAGTTAGTTTTGTATAAACAATAATCACAAAATATTTGAAATCTAAGGCACCTCATAAATTTTCTGGCTTAATGTACACATTTTACATGTGAGGAAATTGAAGCCAACACTTCTTGATATCAGTTCTCCCCATTCCTGGGTTTCAAATAGTGCTGGGGAAATTTGTCCTGCATTGAGTTTGGCCCATCAGTTTGTGATACTTAGATGGTCGTAGGGACCTTCTTCAGAAGACACGAGGGCAAAGTGGAAGAGAGATCATAATAGTAGGTAGCCATGTGCTGATGCCTTACATACATAATTATGTTTGATCCTCACAGCTGCTGTATGAAATGGTTACTATCCCTATTCTACTAATTAGAAACTCAAGCTTAGAGAAGTTATATAACTGACCTGAGGTCACACAGCTAGCTAACAGAGAATCAGCCTTCAAATTCAAGTTTGCTTGATTGCAGGGTTTATGCTCTACCCAAAGAGGGGGACATAGAGGGAAAAAATAGATTTTTCTAGGTGGTAATATTATTTTGTTTTTAGAGTCTCCATATAATCT